GAGGAATAATCATTGCCGATCGGCAGCAGCAGTGATGTTATCTTATCTTTCAAAAATAGAGCGAGGCCGTATTTTTGCAAATAAACGAAATTACCGATATTTGGCTGAAAATGTGGAGTGATGGTTTAATCAATGTCTTCAAAGTAGAGAATCAGTCTTTTCTGTTTAAAGAAGAAAAAGGGCTGATATCGGCTTGAAAAATGCTTGTTCAACGACAGTCTAAGAACTTATGAATTATTTTAAAGACCCAAAGTAAATTACGGTAAAATGGTAGCAAATTTAACGAATTTTCTAGAGTTAGAACGAAGGATTAAATTTAACGCACAGCTTTCGTTCAACAATAAAGCGCATTAAATACCTACAGTGGTTGTGTGAAAATAAACGTTGAAACAAAACTGGCTTACTGAATACCAACTTTTCTCATTTGAATGGGGTAATCGTTTGCGTTCGTTTAGGCATCACAATGATGAAACAAGCGAATCTTTATCAGTAATAATCGTAGTTTTCATTTGTATTTGTGAGTATACCCGTTCATTGACTTGCTCTATGCCTTAGCTATCCCGAACAGAGATTAGTTGATGATCATTTTGCATTGCTATATGATGTCTTATTATTACTTGTCGATCAATCTTTCAATTAAATTTCAGCATGGAGTTAGGAGAACAACAGCCTAAAGTGTTGAATGAACCTATGCCCATAGTCTGGCTTAAACCTCTCTTACGAGAAGATTTGGAAAAACTACAGATGAAGTCCAACCGATACACATGTCCTGTGTACAAGACGAGTGAACGTCGTGGTGTCCTGTCCACAACCGGTCATTCAACCAATTTCGTTTTGGCCATGTACTTGTCCACAAGCGTTAGCCCCAGTCATTGGGTTAAGCGTGGAGCTGCCTTGCTTTGCCAGTTGGACGATTAGGTGCAAATCATCTCGAGAACCACGGGCTTTATTTGCTGATCAATCGAGACTAGTTCTGCTTCAAAATCTGGTTTGTGAAAATGGAGCAAATCCAAAAATGGAAAATGTGTTTGAAATACTGATTCTAATCGAATGTCGTCCGAAAACAGGATGCTCAGATTCCACTAGCTGTATGCCACTGAATAAATACTGTTTGTGTTCCGGCACCACGAAAACCGGTAACTGATTCATTGTTTTGTTTTTTCACTCTGTAGTTGAAACGTTGGGTTTTGTCACAATCGCTGCATTAACATCGAGAGAAGAAAAAGTAGCAAGATTTTAACTGATTTATTTCATATTTTCTGTCGCTGAATAAACCAAGCTTATACGTATATATATATCGCTTACAAGTAAAGCTTACCAGAAAAAGAAAGATCACTTCCACATTAAGTAGATCGATTGCGTCAAAAAGGTGTGTGCATTTAAAATTGGGCGATGTAATCAAATAAGCAGCGCTTCACTAATTGACAAATATTTATCATTGTGATTATATATCAGTAATGGGAAAGGTGAATGAGTGTTAGCTTTGCATCTTATAGATAAATATTGCGTGATATATTGCGATACTTCGATCACCGATTGTCGGTTGCGTTATCATTTTCACTAACTTTGGAATATGCGACCTGACGTTTTTCTTTGCCTGTGTACATCATGGCAACTACAGGTGAACTGGAGCACAATATGTGAGATGGAAACATTTTGACAGTCAGGTTCCCGTTTATTCGGATCGGTCGAGCAAAAGAACCTATCAAGTCTGATTGGAGCAGCTAAGTGCTGTGATCTTAAGGTGAATACCAACTTTAGTTCTCATTAGTTAAAACGTGCTTACTGTTGGAAGCTTATCTGTTTCGACAATGCTTTTTGATGCTTTTCACTATATATTTCTCTTTGTCTTTCTAAATAACCGTTGTTTGCTAATATCGTCCTCTTCTTCTTGCAGTGCTTCCGGAGACATTTACCTATCTGAAGCAGTTCGTTCACTGTCGTTAATCAACCCCACTATGTTTGATATATATTTCATAATAAGTAGTATATGGTTGACTAGACAAAAATTCCCTGGAAGCACAAAACCGGTCTCGCGGTTCTTGCTGCTCATCAGGCATGCGTATCTGGTATTCCTTTGTCAGTTCATCCAACTACCTGTACCCAAGAGGTATATTCTCACCACAATAACCTTATTTGCATCACCGAGTAATTTTTTGGATAGACAGCTCTTTGAGAGTCAGTCCATTGAAGGGTCAATATTATGATTCGATGTTTTGTAGGTGGGTTAAATGTTACCAACCGCAATTAAACAGAATAAACGAACGACTAGTACATTGCAAGATTTGTTGTTTTTCAGTATTAACGCAGTTCTAAACTTTGTATTTGCATTGGTTAAGGGATATGTATTCTCCCGCTTTATTAAAGCGGTGTTGGGAGGCTGCTAAAGACCACCGAATTATCACCTCTGGGGACGCGTGTTCAAATCCTACCACCAACACCTGAATCACCTCATTCTGTGGTGTATAACAGTTCAATGATTGGCCGCTTTCCTGTTTCCTGAATATTTTGCCCTTATATTTTCAATGAACGGAAGTAAAGTGGGAAAAGCATGTTTACATTCACTATTCCAATTTCAGAATGCAATCGAAAATGTAAGGACTGACGTACAGAACTGTACCTTCAAATCGCGTGGAAGTAGATTTATGAACTTTGCCGTTACTTACAAGAGACAAATATCAGTTAAATTGAATTCGGCTTGAGGATTGATGCTTAGTGAACAGTAAGCGCGTAGCGTCTATGACCTAAACATGCGGATCTATGATCCCCAAACTAGACTATCCCGGTTGACTCAAGTTATCAACTTTAAGGTATGAAGGAGAGTTAAAGTGCTCCCATTATTTGAACAGAGAAATCAGAAACATGGGTTTGCACAATGTATCCATGGTCATTTCGCTGCATCTGTACATGTGCATACTGCAGTTCAAGTGATTTTTATAGTCAATGAAATAACAGATTTGAGAGAAAAAACACAAGATCGCTAATCACAACGGACAACGCAACGCAAAAACACAAAAAAAACAAAAAGGGGGAATGAGATAGGGCAGGGGGTCAATCACCAAGGCAAAGCTAAAGTGACTAACCATTCGCGTTGTCTGCATAGATCAGGTTTATTTCCAAATAGCAATTACCATTTAAGAATGGGCTAATTTTATTTTGCTGTTAGATCTTGTGTTGTTATATTTAAATAGAAGACTGTCTGAGTTGTCCAGGGGGGAGCTATGAACAACACAAGCGTGTGTAAAAGTGAAAATCGTTATAGGTGATTACATTCGAACGACCGATCTCTGGGTCGGTGTGATGATATGTTGTAACGGGTTCATATTTCTTACTGTATGATACATCAAGAATGGTTCTTCAAGACGTGTATTTCGGTACATTTTGAGAGTATGTAAACATATTCTTAAGTGGTGTATTATTGGTATTTTCACCGTGTAATGAAAGACTAATCAGGTAATAAAATTTATGTCCGCAAGCTAATATGAACGAAAACGAATAGTGCATATTATTTTATTTAAGCATACTATACTTAAACGCATTCTTTGAAATAGGGCAGTATATTAAGGATTAGGCGCATAACGTAACTAAGTTTATTTGTCATGATTATCAGAAAAACAGGTTCATAAGGAGTAGCATTCGAAATTTCAGTGTTTCTTATTCGTTCTCAAGACATCTACTTTCCATTGTGCTCGGTATGCTGTTATCCTGATTAAGCAAACAGTGCTTCCATTTCTGTCTTTCTGATTTAGCTTTCTATTTCCCACCACCCTCTATTCGATGTGTGCTTTGTAATTTTAGTTGAAAAGCTGTGTTTAAATTTGACGATCCATTCCATCTATGATCATCAACAAGGAGTGTACGGGACAGTTGTTCCGTTTTTGTTGCTCTCATCAGTCCTCGTACGTTTTTGCCTCCCTATAGGAACTCGAACGGGTTAGGAGTAGAAACCAATCCGGTTTGCTTTTCACGTCGTTTATATTGTGCCCAAATCCCACATTTTTCTATTGTTATTATCGCTGTATCGGCACCATACTTGCCCACAAGCCCCTGATAAATATATTTATACACGATGGACGTTGCGCACCTCGAGCCCATGATTACTTAACTTAATTACCCTCGTTCCTGGTTTGTCCCGTAGGAATTCACCAGTAACTGGGGTGTCGGCTCGGACACAATCATATTAGACACTGCTGTTGAGCCTACGAAGGGACGAAGCAGTTGTCCATTCATTTTTCACCATTCACCAAGCTTGGCAGTTCGGTTGCAAATGTTTTATCACTAACCGAGATGACATCTTTCTCGTTGGTGATGAACCGTTTGCAGACCAGTCGTCTCGCTCGGTGTACAGAAGAAAGTGCGTTCAGTTCACCCAAGCCACGCGAAACAATCTTCAATACTCTGTCTACAGCCGCCCATAGTATTTTCCCACCTTCACATTAAATGTACAACCAGTAAAATGTTCAGGGTAAGTGAGGAACCAATTGTATCATGACAATAATAAAGGATTTGCGTCGATTTGAAAGAAGGAATTTGTTGTGCATAGAGAAAATGATGCGTGGACTTAAATTGTCTACTGAGAAACGAGATCCACACAAAACCGGTCAATTAACAGGTACTGGTGTTTTTGAATGTGCATTGGTCAGAATACTCCAGTACTTACACTCCTAATCAATTTGGAGCTCTTTTACAATACTTTTTTAGTATGAATAATCCATTAATAAATACTCTCAGAATCTTCCCGTTCAGTTTTATACCTTGTATGATAGGAAAGAAATAGCAGACAATTAATTTCAGTTTATAACCCGTCATCATCGGATTAGGGCGCGCGCGCGGGGGAGAAGGATAAGTGAAAAATAGCCATTATACAAGTAAATCCAGAATGCTATATGGGAAAATGAGTGATGATTCTCAAGCTTTGCTACGTTCCGATTGGAAGAGATCTAATGTTTGATTTCTTAAATCTGCCCTCAAATTTGTGGTATGCAGCTTCGCCGTCCTCGGGACTCAATATCACGTGTATCCTACTGAGTCTATAGGTGCTTCATTGCCTAAATTCGCAAAATTCAGTTTCACAGCTATTATAAAGGAACAACACGAGACCAGCAAGTACCCGGTGGCTCAGTGGG